TTTCTTCCATTACTCTGTAGCACAACAGGCATTATCTTTTGCAGAAAGGCACTGATGATTTCTGCCAGGATCAGCTTTGCCAGTTTTATAAACACTAACATTTAACAAGAGACTAAAGCTGTGGGGGGGGGAGTATGAAACTCAAGGCAAATAATCTCTCTTCCTTTCCTATAAATCATTATCCATACAGAAGAACTAGAATAGATTTGTACAATATCAAAACATTAAGACATTTATTTTCAAACGAAGAGGTCTAATATCTACAGGGTTGGATAAATTTCCCCCTTTGATACTTGTTCCATACTTTTGCTACATCTGTTGTTCTATTACACATCCTTATGATGATGCCCTGCACATTTTTGTGATCTTCGTTTGTGTGGGCATACTCAATAGACATTTTGTCACATGTTTAATATGTAAATTTAAAATCAATGAGATTATATGCAACCATATTTTTTTTACTGGTAAGAGAGGATGAGATTCCCTCTGACTACCCCCACCCCCAAAACCCCTGCTCTGGGGATCATGGGGCCTTCATGGAGAACCGCCACACATGACGAGGGCTGTAGTAAAACTGAGAATTGGGCCAGACTGAGCAGGAAAACTCATTATTTCCATAATGATAATGCTTGAAAAATGGATCTCCAAATACATGTGCAATACGTGTCAATTAAAAAAGAGGAAATGAGCAAAAGGAGCAGGCACTTCTCTTCCACAACATGGACCAGCCCCATACATGTGTACATATGTGGATCTATTTGTAACAAATAATTAAAAAAAAGAAATATGTTAGTTTTAAAAATAAACCTGGGTACCAGTACCTGGATAAATGTGGGTTTGTGTTCATTAGTTGCTATGCATGCTGTTGTGCCAGCACTTCTGTTGGAAGGGCTGACCATGGAAGGCTTTTTGTCCTGCTCACACAGACTTTGTGTTACTTTCACACAGGCTTTTGCCATGCACTACTGACTTACCCACATGCCCTGTGAACATCATGGGATTAGCAGGTTGCTTTTAAGTATGACCACGAATTGAGGCAGGGGTGCATGAGTGGCTTGTTGGAAGACTCCTTTTTCACCTGGTCCATTCTGTCAGGGGAGAGGTTGGCATAAATAGGTCTGTTCTTATGACTGCTTAAGCCATACTTACCTTGGCTGGAAAAGGGTGGGTTTGCTTATGATAGGTAGAGCGAATTTAGAAAGCCATCAAGTGTGACGAAGGGAGAATTCCAATTAGAAGAGAATTCAGATGCATTCCTAAACATTTATGAATGTACATTTATTCTGAATTCTTTACAAATGTGCCTTGGAAAATGTATATATACTAGGAGTAAGACCTGTTGTGGGAAGAATACAACGAGCTCCAGAAGGAAGCTCCAGGTGAGTGTCCTGGCTGTTGCTGGTGGGGTGGCAGAGGGAAGGGGGAAATAGAGGGAGGCAAGCCACGTTTATTTCCTTCTGCTTAGCTGTAAGGCAGGGCTGTCTCCAGTCATTTTGCTGCCCCAACTGGGTATTATAGGAGGACAACCTCATGGTAACAGGTATGGTTCCCTCCACCCCTGAATTATGTTGATTTGGGGTTATGCAGTGGAAGCTAAGGTAGAAAAGCACCTCCTCCTTTGCCATGTCTTCTGGGTTCCAAGAGTCTGGAAAGTGGTTCCATAGCCAGTTACAGGGTTACCAACTCTGGGTTGGGAAATACCTGTAGATTTGAGGGGTTGAGCCTGGGGAGGGAAGAGGTTGGGAGGGGAGGGACCTCAGCAGGGTATAATGCCAGAGTCCACTGCCCAAAGCAGCCATTGTCTCCAGGAGAACTGATCTTGGTCATCTGGACATCAGTCTTAATAGCTGGAGATCTCCAGGTGCTGCCTGGAGGCTGGCTTATGTTCATTTGAGGCTATGCAGTGGCAGCTAAGGTAGAAAAGCACCTCCTCCTGTGCCATGTTTTCTGGGTTCCAGAAAGTGTCCCTTTAAATGCTTTGGGCAAGAAGTGTGTGGGGGGTGCCTGAACTCTAAGTGGTGAATTTGCCTCTTGCAGTTGAGGTGTGTGGCCGGCAGCCGCCCCCTTTCCTCCTGCCCTGCAAGATTTAAAGGGCTTTTCAGCTGGTCAGTGGGCCATATGCTCCTGCAGATCAGCTGGAGGGCCCTTTAAATCTCACAGGAGGGGAGAGAGAGGGGTGGCCACCAGTGGCCGCTGTTGGGGCAGAGCTTAGGGGTGCAGCTTCTCCTACCGGCCATCTGACCTGTGGCAGGCAGGAGCCCATCAAATTAGGGCATCCCCCACTCCCACCTGGGGACTGGCATCCCTACTTCAAGGGCAGTCCCACATAGTGCACATTGCAGTAGTGATTAAGAGTGGTGTAGTGGTTAAGAGTGGTGGACTCTGCTCTGGAGAACTGGGTTTGATTCCCCACTCCTCCACATTAAGCCAGCTGGGTGACCTTGGGCCAGTCACAGTTCTCTCAGAACTCTCTCAGCCCCACTTATCTCACAGGGTGTCTGTTGTGGGCACAGGAAGGGAAGGAGATTGTGAGCCACTCCAAGATTCCTTTGGTAGTGAAGGGTGGGGCATGAAAACCAACTCTTCTTCTTTTTCTAGTCTAATCTGGATGTTACCAGGACATGTACCACAGTGGCAAGGTATTTTTTTTTACCTTGTGTACATGTAAGTTGAAGTTAAAACCAAAAGTTACTCATGCAAGTGCTCTGTGCAATGGCATGTCCTTCTCTAGATCCTAGCCTCGATATGAACTAAAAGAGTTCTATGAATTTCTTTTGCTGGGGACTTTTAGGAGCAATAGTGACACCTAGTCAGTCAAGAAAAAGGTTACAATTCTGACATGAAATAGAAATGTTCAACTTTATAGCTTTGAAGCACTCAGCAGTTCTGTGATTTTAGAATTTAGGGTAGTAATTCCTAGTAAACCAACTTTCTGGCACTGTCCTTCTTCAGATCATGTTCTACCTGTTAATGAGTACACTCTGGTACTCTTAGCACAGCTATTTACAATTTGTCTTGTTTATATCTATTAATTATAGTGAAATATTGCTGCTGAAATAAGAACCTTCAGACGGATGAGTCCATTTTGCCAGTCTAGCAAATCCTCAGTGTTTTCTGCATGGCATTTTATATAAGCGGGACCAAACTGAAAAATATTCCCCCACCATCGTGATTATCAGTGGCTTCCCACCTACACACACAACTTGCACATACAGTATTAAAGATAAAACCTTTAACATCTTACTTTAAGCCAGTTAAAGTGTTTTTCACACATTTTATTTTATATCCTAGGAATACTAAATATAGATGCCAAGTACTTAAGGCGTGATTAAAATGGTGTAGGTGAAGATGGAAACAGGTCCAGAGTCCCTGAACAATGCACACATATGGGAAGCTGTTAAAATAATCACTTTCAATAAATAGAGACTATGAGGTAATTTTCTCACTCAGCCTCCTACACCTGACACAAAACACCCAACTGGAAAAAAATTAGCAGCACCCACAGAAGGTACATGACAGACAAACTCATCAAAACAGATGTGTGTGTGGGGGAGAAGCATTAGCTTTTAGAAGGGGTGTGGGGGCCGTATTTTAGGCCAGGTTCACACATACTTAAGAGTCTGTGCTCTATTTCAGGTCCTCTGGATATCTCCTGTTCTTGAAGCTCTCTATAAAAGCTATTCTTTGGCCACCACCTGAGTACATTCCTTTCAAGCAGGTGCATTGGCTCTTTGGGACAGAGGGCTTCTTTCTTTGCAATGCTAATCTATTTATGTGGTAATTTAGGCTGAAAAGTTGTGGATTATTGATTTTTAATAAACAGGATGCTTATGGCACCTTTAAGATTAGCAAAATTTAATTCCAGCATAATCTTTCGTGGAATAGGGCTTACTTCTTCAGATGCTATGAGCTGCTCCTCACTGTGTAGTCCTTTTATGAAGGGAAGGGATCCCTGGTCTTGTTGAACCTGTGGGCACTTTTAGGTTTTTGAGAACAGGGAATGGGCATCCACAAAATGGCTGCTGTGGGGTACTGAGGCCAATCAGAAAACATTGGGAAGCCAAACATCCTTTTACTAAGAAGTAAGAAGTCAGTTGTTTCTGGGTTCTCCTGTCCAGTGTTGTTCACTTTGGGGAAGAAGCAAATGAGCATCAGGAAACCCATCAGTGGGCCTCACAGTGCCTAAGCAAGTATCCTAGAACAAAGTTTGAGTCCAGTGGCACCTTTAAGACCAACAAAATTTAATTCTGGGTATATGCTTTCATCAAATTTTGTTCTGTTGCTTCAGACCAACATGGCTACCCACCTGAATCTATTAACAAGTACCATGTTGGGGATCACTGATGCAGAGGTATTAAAAAAACCAAATAAACAGCAGGGTCAAGTGGTCATGAACTTCCTGCATTTCATGACCCCTTGAACCTGCTGGCTGCTTGTTTTTCATAACCCTACATAAAACAAAGCATACAATGAGGACCCAATCAGTGCATCTGAAGAAGAGCACTCAAGCCCACAAAAAATGTATGCTGAAATTAGATGATGCTAGTCTTTAAGGTGCAATAAAGCTTCTGCTTATATTTTGTCTGAGAGACTAACACAGCAACCTCTCTAGAATTATCATGATGTTGGTTTTTAATGTATTTATTTCCTTGTTCAGCTCTGAGTCGTCATTCTCAGTGAGAAAGGCAGGATAAAATTTTAAAATGCAGCAAATTACATGGGAAGGAAGCAGTGAGATGCTGAAGAGGTAGAGGGGGCTGAACTACTTCAGACTGCAGGTGAAGGTTCATGGAAGATCATATTTTGGAATGTCTCCCTATGTCGAAAACATAGAAAATGAGTGTGGGGGATAGGATCTTCTTGCTGCTGGGCTGTTTACAAGGGGTATTTTGTGGGGGCTGGGATGGGGTAGAAGAAGGAGCAAAAGGGGAGGGGGGGCTCTGTGAGTATTTGTATCGATTTATCTGTGTTTCCGTCTCAGCTTCATAGGTCTTGGTGATATGCAGCTGCCACCATGCAGATTTTTGTGAAAACCCTGACTGGGAAAACAATCACCCTTGAGGTGGAACCCAGTGACACGATTGAGAATGTAAAAGCAAAAATTCAGGATAAGGAACCAGCAGCGTCTGATCTTTGCAGGGAAGCAGCTGGAAGATGGGTGCACGCTCTCTGACTACAACATCCAGAAAGAGTCCACCCTTCACCTGGTGGTGCACCTCCGTGGAGGAATCATCGAGCCCTCCCTGCGCCAGCTTGCCCAGTGGGCAGCTCGCCCAGAAGTACAACTGCGACAAGATGATCTGCCGCAAGTGCTACGCCCGCCTGCACCCCCGAGCCGTGAACTGCCGCAAGAAGAATTGCAGCCACACCAACAACCTGCGCCCCAAGAAGAAGGTCAAGTAAAGAACATGGGAGGACCAGGGTGGATGCTTGCCATTTCCCATCTGGTTCCAGCACACTTGCAGCAAAGCATTCCGTCTCCTTGTCTCTCGGCCTGTGGCCTTTTCTGCCCGCTCCAATAAAAGTGGTTGATGCACCCAAAAAAACCCAAAAAAACCCCCAAGGGGTCTTTTGTGTGAAAGAACATTCAAGCTAAAACCTATCACTTGAAGAAGCCTGGAGTGGCACAGTTCATTCTACTACCTCAGGCCTCTACCCCCTGATTCCCACAGATTACATCTGTGAATCAAGCCTTAGAGTCACCAAAGGATGCAGGACGTTCTGCAGGGCCTGCAAGATGGAGGTGTTCTGCCAGGCTTTTGGCTGAGGCAGTGGGTGTCCACGGATGGCCTCCCTGAGGTTGCCATCTCCCACCTGCCGGACATCCAGCCATTGGCAACCGGCCATATCCATCTGTATTAATGGGTCGGAACTTCCACCAGTAGCTATAATTACTGTTTTTAAATGTTTATACTGTGCTTTTAAACTTTTTTGTAATTGCTGGGCCACAAACCAGTTCAATTTGCAAATAAACCTCCCAGTTTGGTCCATGGTTTGGTTTGTGGTTCAGCCATGAACCATAAACTGACATGAACCACATTTTCCCAGTTCAGGTCCATCCCTATTCAGAACAAAATCACCATCTACTAGGTTTCAGACGTGCCCAAGTGGGTAAGGAATAGGTAAGCTGGGAAGCAGGTTTCTCCACAGATGAGGCAGGGAGTTTGCACTGGTTCAGCTCCATTTAGTATCAGCATTCCATATAAGACTAGTGTCCTGAGTAGGGGAACAGCAAAATGTTCAGCCCTTTCAGGAGATCTAAGCTTATTAAATAACGGAGGTATATACGGTACTAAGGAAACTTGATATAGTTGCTTACAATTACATGTATACCAAGAACAAAGACTTTCTTACAGTTGAATCAATGACCACTCATGCTCACTCATCAGGCACATCAGTTTGAAATAGATTTGACTTTCAAAAGGGGTAGGCCTCTAGCATGATGGAAGCAAGCCAGTGTGATATAGTGATTATAGTGTCAGACCAGGATCTGGGAGACCCAGACTTGAATCCTGACTCTGCCACTGAAGCTTGCTAGTTGAGCTTGAGCCAGTCCCTGGGTCTCAGCTTAGCCTACCTCACAGAAGTGTTACTGGGAGGATAAAATGGAGATGGGCAAAAAGATGGTATAAGCTATTTGGGGCTTTTATGAGGGAGTAAAAGGGAGGTATAAATATTTAGATAAAGAAATGAATATTGTTTCTGGGCTTCAATTGAGTCTGAGATGCAGGAGCCATGTCAGCATCTGCTAGGAGAAAAATCATTATACACTCCTAGGTAGGGTTGCCAAGTGTTATCTTCCTCCGCAGTGGGGGACTCCCGGGCCGATCACGGAGAACACACATGCACCACATCCACATCACCAGGCAGTGACATGATGATGCCGGGCATGCTGGGGGCGGGGCCATGACCATCTGAGGGAAAACCATAGAGTGTCATCGCGTCACTTCCTGGTGACCCGATCCGGCCCGATCTGGTGGTGGCAGGGAATGTGCCTTTGGGGCGGGGGTTTCCCCACCCCCGGGGGGACTTGGCAAGCCTACTCCTAGGAGGAGTGTCCTGACCTAAAATGGGACCCGAGAGACTTGGGCTAATATGCCTCATCAGCCGCAGATGAGCAGGTCTCCTACAAAGGCTATCAGACTTCTGTGTTTCAGCCCAAAGTGATTCAACTCCAGGGACCTCTATACCCGGCTGCCAGCTCACTGATTCTACATCCAAGGGACTATAATGAGGGGAAATTAAGAGTGTCTATTATATCTATTATGTCCCAAGTATGCAAGTCAGAGGCGTATACCCGGCTGCCAGCTCACTGATTCTACGTCCAAGTGACTATAATGAGGGAAAATTAAGAGTGCCTATTATATCTCTTATGTCCCAAGTATGCAAGTCAGAGGCATCTAAGAAATCTGCTTTGTTTCCTCCCAAAAGGATGAAAGGTTATTGTTCGGCTTGTGTTAACGACATTGGTACTATGACTATGAGGAAGTTCAAGTTTGTAATACACAGTGTTGGGGTTGAGTGGTGAGTGGGATTTAATGTTGAATATATCCAGAGGTGAGCCTTTGAATCTTGCTGTGAATATTTCCCCCCCCCTTCTGTCTTTCTGTGACATGTACTGAATCTTTGCCTCCAGATTTACCCAAATTTAAACACTTGCAATTGCATCTACTCACATTTAACCCGGGTAACCTCCCTCCCTCTCTCCTCTCCATCATGTTTCTCATTGTATTCAGATCCCTCCCACTTGTCTCTTGCAAGCATCAGATACACTCTGAGTGCTAATGCTTATGTGTCCTGATCCTGTGCACAGCCCAGTAATTCCAGAGACTCCTACACCTGCATAGTTTGAAACAGGGTAACTGGGAAATGAGTCCCATTGAGTCAAATGGGATTTAAAGACAGGTAAATATGGTTAGGATTGCAGCCTATAGGAGCTCTTAATTTAGATGGCCACATTCATTCTTGATCCTATCTTGTTTCTTATGGGAAAACAACCTCTGCTGCTTTGTAGTTTCTGTTAAATTAAACCAGATTTAATATGTGCCCACAAGCAATGCAGGCAACATCAGACTAATTCTGTGTGTACAAAATTAAAAATCATTCTCAGAGTACTCCAAAAGTTTATCTACCCGTCACCATGTAAATTACTGGTCTCAAAAAAAAAAATTAATTGAACTACTGTATGTATCAGTTATTCTCTTGCTAATCTGTATTCAGTTTATTCTTGCAACATGTTCTGAATAATGGTAGCTAAACAGCTGGGGATGGGGGAGGCTGAATTCTGCATATGCTCCTAGGCTGTATTTTCTTTATATGGGAATGGTATGCAATAATAATGGTGTAAAATTTCAGAACTAGGTGGAGATATAAAAGAATTGTCCCAGTTTTGAATACCTGAGCCTGTCACGACATGATCCCAAACCTTGCTGAAGTTCGTGTTTGTTTCTTCATGGGCTTACAGACACAACAGTCACTAGTCTTCCCACCATTGCATTAGCAATTTCCACATCTTGTTCACTCAAACTCTCTCACCCAATCCTATGCATGTTTAACCAGAAGTAGGTATTTCCCATGGTTCTTATTTCCATGTAAGCACGGATACGATTTGCAAGGATTGCCTAACAGCAAGTAGAATAAGCTTATAGAGAACTGTGAAAACCTCTAGTGATATTTCCCCAAAGTGTGCCTTTTCAGCCTTACTGTAGCAATGGTAAGCAGTATATTCTTTTTTTTTTTTTTTGTTGCTGAAGTGCTTATAAATTAGAAGAAAATTTCTTTTCGGTTAATTTTTATGACAAAACAGCACAAACAAAGCCCATCAATTACACAGATAGAAATAATTAGGCATTGGGTTTCCATGAATTAACAATGTGGCATATTTTCAGCAATAAGTATTATGCATGATTATCACTGATTGCATCCATCCCTCTCATATTTTTAATGAAAATCATTATGTGCATGAAAATTTCAATGAAATATTTGTTTGCTTCTTTTGACTTTATTACATTTGTTTTTCCTACATTCTAGAGCACCCGAGTGCAAAGGAAGACATAACCCCAGGGTTACCCTTCTCAAATTCAGCTAATAAGTAGATTCACACGCCAGATTTTCTCCCTCCGTGTTGCTTTGCAATCACACAATATGAGGAACAATCCTGTTAACTAACATTGTAGATGCAGATATATATATATATATTTTAATTCTGGCACACAGCGATCTTTATGAGCAATTCAAGAGGCAAACTTCCTAGGGAGGGAATTTAGCATGGTGCTTCGGGTTTTCTAATGTAAAAACCCCAGGATGATTCCTGAACTTGCTGTGCAGTGGAACAGCAACAATCATGTAAATCTACCCTATGGGAAATACTAAGTTTACTCTTCTCTTTTATCTCAGGGATGTTCCTTTGTCTGTCCTCTCTTCCTGAAAAAGTATACAGTTACCCCAGTCCAAAAGTCATGTATCTCCTTTTAAAGATACTCCTGAAAGTTCCCTCAAATAACTCCTAGGATTCTGGAGCTCAAAATTAACTGGTCTTATTTCTGAAATACAGCCCATCAGGAGTATACTGTGGTGCATGAGCACTAAGATGCAGATTTCATTTCCTTCCTGCTCTATGTTACCGCAGTGTACAAATGCATTGATGTAATGCTGCAAAAAGTGTAACTCTGATGTGAGCATACATATGATTTCCTAAGGATTATTTTTGTATGGCGTTTTGCCTAATACCAAAAAACATACGAATGTGTATTTTTGCACACTGATAAAACATCACCAAAAGTTACCTTGTTGTAATGCACAGAAGTTCATAGTGCCCTGGAACAGGTACTACTACATAAGCTACTGGTCACTAGCAATGCAGTCCTAAACAGAGTTATACCCTTCTAAGCCCATTGTTTTCAATGTACTTAAAAGACCGTAACTTGATTTAGGACTGCATTCTGTGCTCTAGTTTGCTGAGTAAGGCTTTTTTATACTGTTTCTGTAACAATATGGCACAGTCTACAGATGCATGTTCCCAGTGCTCTGCAACAATTATTACAACATAAATTGCTGGTGGTGACTATGTTCTAGTTTCTACAGAGAGGGTAATTCTATGACTGTGCTAAATCGCTTCAGTAACCATCTAGCATGTCAGGGACCCTTGTCTGAGACTCCTAATTTTTTAGGTGCAGGATTTAAAAAAAAAAAATACACACAATCCTCATATGCAGTCAGACGTTATATAGCCCAGTCATAATTTTGTACCTTAGTGAGAATGAGCCCAACCTGATATGCCTTTAAAAAAGCCTCTTTTTACTTAAACTAAAGTAATAAAAATATGTCATGTTTATAATTTAAGTACATCTGATTTTAATTTGTATTTGTTTCAGTTGCAACTCATACAAATGGATTAAACAGTGTTCAAAGTGAATTGATCAAACATCTCTCAGTTTCATTAAACTAGGAAATTAAATGAGATTTGAACTAATTGTGAAAGATCACAGTGGTATGAATCTGAAGACTTATTAAGGAGATGAACGCCATTCATGAA